CTACTCAGAACTGTCAATGGCAAAGTATTTGTTTGGCATCTGGAAACCAAGTACAAACTTAGACAAATAACTTAATCATAAGAGTCCCCACATTATTGATTATATATTGGAAATAAATAAGTCTATCTTAACAGTTATTTGATAACTCAAATTTCATGAAAAAGAAAGGGTGTGAATGAGGGTAGTAAATTTTAAGTGGACACAGAGGAAGTATTGGTGTTGGCCTGGAGTGGCAGTTGAGAGTGATTCTGGGAAGCACACCTGTCTGAGCGGACTGAGAGTGAATCAGGCTTTGTTACTGCACTAGGGCTACGCCCTGGTTACTGATGGGGCTGGGGAAGGGTGGTCCGAGACTCACTCTTCACCATGCCTTTTGTCTGGACTGTCAGGGATGTGATGAACACCAGGACTAGACTCCCCTCATGGTGATCAGAAGAGCCAGAAAATGATTGGCAGATAGGGATATAGGAAAGAAAAGGGAAAAAGAAAAAAGGGAAAAGCTCTATGTTCTGTCTGTATGTTCTATGGGTGTGTGTGTACCCATGTGTGTGTTCATGGGAGCATTAGGTAGACTCTGCTGTCTCTCTCCATTCCTTTGCCTCACTTCTTACCTGGAGATGCTGGCTAGCCTCAGTCTCTGACATTTCCAAAAAGCAGATTGGGGCCCTGGCTGGTGTAGCTCAGTGGATTGAGCGCGGGCCTCTGAATGAAAGGGTTGCTGGTTTGGTTCCCAGTTGGGGCACATGCCTCGGTTGCAGGCCAGGTCCCCAGTAGGGGACATGTAAGGGGCCACCACACATTGATGTTTCCCACCCTCTCTTTCTCCTTTTGTACCCCTCCCTCTAAATAAATAAATAAAATCTTTAAAAAACAAAAGCAGATTGGGTTTGCTACCCCATTGTCTTCCCAAGAAGTCACGGCTGGAGTCCTAGAGCCCTCATCTGCCTCTAGGAATAGCACAGGCCGAAGGCTCAGGTCTTTATGACATCTCAGGCACAGGAGCTGCTGGCACTTCTCAGGCCATGTCACTGGGGACCCATGCTCCAACCTCCTCCTTAGAAACAAGAGGGGGCAATTATCCAGCCCCCAGCCCTTCTCTTTAGACTGTGGTCCTGAGTTCCAGCAGTGTCAGTGATGGCTCTATTCAGAATGATCAGAGCTGGGACCTGTGGGAGAACTCCTGGTCTTTCCCTCAGGTGAAGTGAGGTTGGGATCCACCCTTGCAGCCTTAACCCCAAATAAACCCCATCTCTTTTATGAAGTCCACTCTTTCTAATGAAGAGCCTAATCCTCAAGAATGAAATACGTTATGTCCTAGAAAATACTTTAAAAAATAAAGGTAAAATAGATTAGGGGTCACGATCATTGCCTTCAAATGTCATGTAGAAGAGACATCATTTGTATTTTCTATGACCCCAGAGAATGGAGATATGAATAATGCGTAGACGCTATCTAAGGCCCCCGGGGCGCGATTCTGGATTTATTTATTTATTTTCGTTGTAAATGTATCTTGCATGTAAAAGAGCATATAAAAGTATGCGCTGCTTAAAGAACAATAATAAAATTAATGTCCATGCTTCCGCCACTCTGCTCTAAGCCTTAAACAGTATATGGCTCAATCCTCTAAAAACCTTTTGTGCCCCTTTTAAATCACATGCTTCGCTGGCGGTGGTCCTGGGGAGGATGTGACCGCAGGCTGACCTTAGAGCTGCATCCGGGCAATCGTAGGCTCCGCACGCCGCCGTCGGCTCGGACCGGAAGTGCTCCCGCAGTCCGCACTGAGGCCGCCGTTTTCAAGGACGAAGCCTCCAGAGAAGCAGGAGGGGTTGGGACCCTCTGTACCTTATACACAACCCCGTGGAAGTCTCTGGGTAAACTTGAAGATTCCGGCGGGCGGAGACGGACACCTCCTCGCCTTGTGGCGGCCAACACGAGTCAGGTAAGTTCTCTCGCTTGTTATTCTGCCTCCTGGTCTCTCTCCTCGGGCGCTCAGGGTCCTTCGTGGTTCGGGCTCGTTTGCCATCTGACGTACGTGTGTGTCTTAACTGTGTGCGGTAGTGGTTGGATTTGCCCCTTTGCCGACCTTTCTTCTGGAGGGAATGAAACTTTGTGTAATCTTCCGTAAATTGCCTGTTTTGCTCAGCATTATTCATTGGGATTTATTCAGGTGGATGCGCGTAGCCGAAGGGCATTCTGGGCCAGGGTTGTCTCCTAGGGGTGACCGCTGCTCATTATAAACTCGCGCCTCCGGCCGAATTTCAGATTGCAGGATTTTAGGATTTACAGTTATGTGTGTGTTGTCTAGGATTCCTCAGCAGTTTCTGGGGGAGGACTCCACGATCAGGTACAGAGTATTTCTACAACTAAGTCACACTAAGTTCAGCTAATACAGACTATGAATAGCTTCATGTAAATTCAGGTTATCTTTTCCCGCTAAATGAGTTCACTGTAAACCTTCACATATATGACTATTATACCAAGTATGATAAATACATATTTTTTAAATAGCCTCATATCAACTCCACATGTTACAAAATGAGTTTGCTGAAACTCTCTGAAATGCCTTCATTAGTTTTTGGATTTTAGGATTACGCCTATAGCATTGTGGACTTACATTCTGTTGTGGAACTGTACCACTGTACCATAATGTGTTTATCCATTTTAATGTTGGTGGACATTTGAGTTTGTTGGCAGGTTTTTGACATTTTTTCATAAAACTGTTTATTCTCTTAAGTGGAACTCCTCCTATTCTTATTTGAAAAATGAAAAAAATAAAGGCCCTGGCCAGCGTGGTTCAGTTGGTTGGGGCATCATTCTGCAAATCGAAAGGTTGCAGGTTTGATTCTTGGTTAGGCACATGCTGGGTTGCAGGTTCTGTTCCCACTTGGGGCACATCTAAGAGGCAACCAATTGATGTTTCTCACATCAGTGTTTCTCTCCCTCTCCCTCCCCCTCCCCTCCCCTCCCCTCCCCCCTCTTCCCCTCCCCCCCTTCTCTAAAATCAATAAGCATTTCCACAGGGAGGATAAAAAAGTGACATTTGAATAAATTGGCCTAACTTCGTTGCTCATTTCTTCTTTTTATTTTTAAATTCAAATTTTGCTGTATTTCAAAAAATTAATTTTTTTAAAATCTTTTTTATTGGTATTCTGTTACTGTTGTCCTAATTTTCTTCCCTTTTGCAATGGACAAATTTCTAGAAATACACAATCTTTCAAAACTGAATAATTTCTTCTTTAAAAATATCTCTGAGGAAATTGGAGAAACATTTTAGTCAACCATTCTTTAAAGAGAACATATCTACAATAGCAATCATTTATCATTTCTTTGTTCTATTATTGATATTTTAATATAGCTCAAGATTTATTATTTCAGCAGCTAAAAGACTTGTATTCAACTTTAGGCCCTGCTACCCACAAGTTTATGATCCATAAAATCTGCTGGTTTTGAAAACATGATGAAATAATTTAGGCAAAAGAGTTCCCGAGAGCAATGTTATATCTTACGGTTACTATTGCTGTTGACAGTAACAATCAGGGAAGGATTAATTAAGCAACAAGTTTACACTTACTCATTTGTGTGTGGTTAGGATTGTGTAATGCTCATTAAGGCTGATTACCAAAATACTTTTGGCTCTCCATTTTACAGATACGCTGTTGGATTGTGCCTTGGGCTCCATTTTGTTGGGTGGGGTTGTGAGATTAGTTGGAGATAATGAGTTGTGGTCAGAAGTATAAGTCACGTCTGAACCCGAGTATTTATTTCTCACAGCAAAAATCTTTGAACCTTTCACAGCTTCTGACAGAGTAGTGATTAACGTTTACAAAGGTGACTGCTCCATTAGCTTTGGTCCCTGAGTGTGTAAAATGAGCAACATCCTTATACTTTTTTTATGGTGGACATACAGTGTAAATAAGAAATAGACCTTTGGTTTAAAGTTCCAAAGATTTTTGAGATTGTTTGCTTTCCACAGCATAACCTACCTTATCCTGACTGATACACATTGCTTATTCCAGGGTATAAGGGGCATTTCAGTGAGGATCCTGGCCATGTGGAGAAAGGAGGAATTAAGAGGAAAGAGAAAGGAGTCGAGAACTGAATATTTACATTGTGATAACACTTCAGTGTTGGCAGAGTTTACATGTACCAACTAGAGTTTCTATATTTTGTCTTTCCAGTGTTATTCTTCCTGTACTCTAATTGAACAAACTTCACAGGGCTTTTCACTATTTCTCAAACACAGTTCAGTATTTTTTAAAGAGATATTATTTATTTATTTTTAGAGAGAGGAGGAGGGGGGGAGAAAGAGAGGGAGAGAAACATTGATGTATAAGTAAAACATCAAATGCTTTCCTCTCACACATGCTCCAGCTTCCTGGGACTGGGCTTGCAGCCCAGGCATGTGTTCTGACTGGGAATCAAACCATCAACCTTTCGGTTTGCAGAATGATGCTCCAGCCAACTGAGCCACACCAGTCAGGGCACAATCCAGTATTTACTACCTCTGCCTACTTGGGTGACTTCCACTGTTTGAAATGCTCTTCCCATTTCCTTGTCTAATGAACTTTGTGATCTGCGAAAGCTCAAACCAGCCTTAAGGACAATCTTAGTTTATTCCTCAAAGAGTCTGTTAGTCCCTGACCAAATCCATTCAGTTTCTTATTCTGAAAAGTAATTGAACTTTAGAATTCCTTGAGGACTAGCTGCTGTCAAACTTATGGAAAACCTATTTGGAAATAGCCTTATTCCACTATGCGGGTGGAAGAAATTGTTTTCCTAAAATCTAGATTCCTAGCAGTTTAGTCTAGGATTAAACATATATTTGGCTACATTCACTGATAGACACCAAGTGTTATAGTTTCCTGGTCACTGTTCTTACTGCTATTCAGCATCACCTGTCATGACCTCTGTGGGTGCCATGTGAGAAACAGCAGGAAGGACGATAACCTATCATCAATTAGGTCATCTCCCAATTATGATATTTTATCATCTTGTTCTTTCTATGAGTGAATTCTGTCCCTTAATTTCCTCAAACCCCTCTTCATATCTTTGTTTCTAAGGCTGTAGATAAAAGGGTTCAGCATGGGTGTCACTACTGTGTACATAACTGTGGATACCCGGTCCTTCACCACTGAGTACATGGAGAGAGGCCTGAAATAGACATAGATGGCACTCCCATAGAATAAGATTACCACAGTGAGGTGGGAGCCACAGGTAGAGAAGGCCTTCCATTTCCCGGCTGCTGAGTTGATTCTGAGTACAGTGATGATGATTCGCAGATAGGAGAAGAGAATGCACAGGAATGGAGTCATGATGACTGCGAGGGTCTCAGTCATGATGACAATCTGACTGGAGGAAGTGTCAGAGCAGGATAGCTTTAGCACAGGTTGGGTATCACAAAAAAAGTGCTTAATGACATGGGAGGCACAGAAAGACAGACGGGACATGAGCAGCACACGGAACAGGGAGTGCAGGTGGGAGATTGTACAAGAACCCAGCAGCATGAGGAGGCAGCGTTGTGGGTTCATAACCACATCATAACGGAAGGGGTTGCAGATGGCTACCAGCCGGTCTATGGCCATAGAGGCCAGCAGGTAGCTGTCAGTATTTACAAATGCCATGAAAAAGTACATCTGGACCAGACAGCCCACAAAGGAGATAGACTTTGTCTCTGACAGTAAATTCACCAGCATCTTGGGCACAATGACTGTTGTTAAGGAGATATCCATAAAGGATAGGCTGCTGAGAAAAAAGTACATCGGTGTATGAAGCCGGGAGTCAGAATAGATGACCAAGATGATGAGTACATTTCCTGCTAGAGTGACCAGGTACATGACAAGGAAGATGACAAAGAGGGGTTTCTGCAGTTGAGGGTTGGAAGAGATGCCCAGGAGAATAAATTCTGAAGTGCTGCTGCTGGAGTTCTTCAGCTCCATGTTTCTTGTCTCCTGGACAGGGTTTGAGAAGAAATGGAAGTGATATGAGTGGTAATTTGATCAATACAGCTTCTTTCCTAACCTCCAGCTTATAAAAAGCCCACTGTTATTTGTGAGGATTTTAGAGATGATTTACTTCAAGAAACTACAGAGAAATAGGGAGTAAAATCCCACCAGAGAGGTTTGATATTCCAAGTTGCTTCCTAGGTGAGAAATGAAAGGTTTCTCATGTGTTCTTAGGACCTTCTATGTAGCCTAATTTGTTTGAGTTCTTCTCAATTCTCTTTTTAAAGATGCTTCTGAGGTTGTTTAATGACCAACTCCTTAGCCACTTTTTCTAGTCCCAGGGGAAGAGGCTGCTTGGTCCCACCTTTAATCAGGATGCTTTCAAAGATGGTGTTTGAGTGAATGAGCCCTCTAACTAGGATCCTCTTCTACTGATAGTTCCAGAGGTTGGGGGAGTTGGGACAGGACACAAATGAGAATCAGATTTAATCAACGCTTCTTGATATCCACAGAAGTTAGATGCGAGTTTTTAAATCTTCAGAGAAAAATCTGCTTAATATGTATTTAAATATCTCTGTTTGGCTAATATAATTTGTTCACTTAAGTGATAAATTTTTGGTTCAGGATGTCACTCAAAATAGGAGTGTTACCAGGAATAACCTATATTACTAAGATTAATTATTTAAATACATTAATTTTTATGATTAAAAACTATGAAGTTTTCATCCTAAACATTCAAAATACCAGAACATAAAACTTTGAATATAAAAGTCTGATTCCCACCAATATCATGGGAAAGACAAGTCAGGATGGTCTCTGTTACCATTACTGAACTGCATTGCTCTAATGGTAGTCTGAGCCAATGAAAAGGAAAAATTAAATAAATAGGCATAAACATTAATTTAGAAAATATTGCCATTTTTAAGTGACTTGTATATCTAGAAGTGCTAATACACATCTGAAGGCTTTAAATGTATGAAGATTTCACCAAAATGGCTAGATACAAGGTAAATATACAAATATTAATACTTTTCTTATGTTAGAAAAGGTATGGAGAAAAAATTTCAATTGACAATGACAAGAACTCTAAGAAATAATTAGGAAGGAACCTAAAAGGTAAAGTAAAAGGAAATGTGAAAGATCTATCTGAAGAAACTATAAAGGACTAAAGTTATTATTTGAATAAATGGAGATATTCTTCTTAAAAAGGATTCAATATTAAAGAATGTCAATTTATAGGTTACACACATAAGTAATAGTGTTATTTATATAGTAGTTGTCTTTTTTATTTCTACTTATTTGACTTAGCATAGTGCCTTCAAAATCTATCCATGTGTTACAAATGGCAGGATTTTCTTCTTTCTCATGACTGAATTGAAAAAAGACAAACTCATAGACAGATTATAGAATGGTGATTGCCAGTAATAGGAGATGAGTGAAATGGGGAGATGTTGGACCAAAGGTACAATCTTCTAGTTAGAAGATGATTAAGTTCTGGGGATCTAGTGTGGAGCATGGTGAAGAAAGTTATCAATAGTGCATTATGTGTTTGCAATTTGCCAAGAGAGTAGATATTTATTTATTTATTTTCATTGAGATATAATTGATACATAACACTGTAAGTTTAAAGGTGTACAAAATGTTGATTTGATACATTTATATATTGCTGTATGATTACCAGTGTGGCATTAGCTAACGTATATATCATGTCACATAATTATATATTTTTTGTGGTGGAAACAATTAATATCTAGCCTTTTAGCAACTAGAAGTTCATAGTACAGTATTGTCTACAGTCACTATGCCATGCATTAGATCTCTAGGATTAATATATCTACTGATGAGAAGTTTGTACCTCAAAACAACACTTCTTCACTTCCTCCACTCACACTCCCCAACCCCGGTAACCGCAATTTCTTCTTAAGAGAGTAGATCTTAAACATTCTGATCACATAGAAGAAGTGGTAATTAGGGCCCTGGCTGCTGTAGCTCAGTGGATTGACCGTGGGCCTGCGAACCAAAGGATCACAGTTTGATTCCCAGGCAGGGCACATGCCTGGGTTGCAGGCCAGTTCCCATCAGGGGATTCACAAGAAGCAACCATACATTGATATTTCTCTTCCTCTCTCTTTCCCTTCCCCTCTAAAGATAAATAAATAAAATCTTAAAAAAAAAAGAAGTGGTAATTATGTAAGCTGATGGGGTTATTAACTAACCCTATTGTGTTAATCATTTTGCAATATAGAAATGTATTAAATCATCATATTGTGCCCCTTAACTTACACAATTGTATTTCAGCAAAGCTGGAAAAAAAGTCAATTTAAAAAAATTATACAATTCAATGCACCTGTAATAACACCCCAAGGGGATTTTTTAATGTGTTGATTATTTTAGTAAGTCAGAATATTTTAGATTAATCCTTTGAAACAACTTTCATAACGTGTTGAGTATCTTCACCTTAAATTTTATTTCCTTTCACAAGAATTGAGAATTGATTACAAAATAACCAAGAAACTTGCTACATTCCAGTAATACAAGTTTATACTAATCTATCGAGCTTTGTTAAAATAATACCATACTTTAGAAGTTACTAGCCAATTTGAATTATAGTGTCTTGCATATCATTTCTCCTTCATATATACATCTAAGCAATGTAAAACAATGATACTTCAAGGGAATTTTTAATTCTAAAATTCATCTAGTAGAGTAAATGGCTAAAGAAAGGCAAGATAATTTTGAAAAAAATTAGAATAACACAGAACTTTTCTAATCTAAAAATCAAAGTACATAAATAGGTTTCCAATCAAGATGGAGGTGTAGGTACATGTGCTTTGCTTCCTCACACAACCAAAAGGATAACAAACAATTTAAAAACAAAAATCAACAAAAATGGCCAGAAAATTGAACTGTATGGAAGTGTGACATCCAAGGAGTTAAAGACACAACATTGTCATTCAGACTAGTAGGAGGGGTACAGACAGGCACCTGGGACAGAGGGGACACATAGCAAGGCAGCATCAGGTGGACCGGGGAATATCACATTTGTGTGCTGATAAACTGGAAGGAACAACTGGGGAGTGAGGCAGACCGTGCAACCCAGGGTTTCAGAGCTGGGAAAAGAAAGCCTTACAACTTCTGGCTACAAAAATCTGTAGGGTTTGCAGCAGTAAGAGAAACTGCTGGTCTCACAGGAGAGTCTGTTGGAGGGGCCCATGGGGTCCTAGAATATACACAAGCCCACTCACCCAAGAATCAGCACCAGGGAAGCACTTTGAAGGGTTCAATTCATTTGTGGGTAGTGTGAGAAGGGCCTGAAAGTGGGGCAAGAGCCAAGCAAACAACGTTGTTCTCTCTCTGACCCCTCCCCCACATACAGCACCACAATGCAGCAAAGTGGGTTGTCCCACCCTGACAAATACCTATGGCTTTATCCGTTACAACATAACAGGTGTGCCGAGACAAAGAAATATGGTCCAAATGAAAGAACAGGTCAAACCTCCAGAAAAAAAACTAAGCAACTAAGGAATGAGGCGATAGCCAACTTATCAGATGCAGAATTCAAAACCCTGGTAATCAGGAGGGTTAAGTTTGACTATGCTCACAGAAAATTATCAAGTAAGGCTACAAAATAAAGGAAGAAGTGAAGGCTATACAAAGTGAAATAAAGAAAAATATACAGGGAGCTAACAGTACAGGGAAGGAAACCAGGACTCAAATCAATGATTTGGACCAAAAGGAAGAAATAAACATTTAACCAGAACAGAATGAAGAAACAAGAATTCAAAAAAATGAGGACAGGCTTAAGAACTTCTGGGACACCTTTAAATGTTCCAACATATGAATCATAGGAGTGCCAGAAGGAAAAGAGGAAGAGCAGGAAATTGAAAACTTACTTGAAAAAATAATGGAAGAAAACTTCCCCAATCTGGTGAAGGAAATAGACATACAAGTCCAGGAAGCTCAGCAAGTCCTAAACAAGTTGGACTCAAAGAGGAACACACCAAGACACATAGTAATTAAATGATCTAAGATTAAAGATAAGAAGAGAATCTTAAAAGCAGCAAGAGAAAAGGAGACAGTCACCTACAAAGAAGTTCCCATAAAGCTATATCTGTAGATTTCTCTAATGAAACCTTGCTGGCAAGGACTGGCTGGAGAGAATATTCAAAGTCATGAAAAGTGAGGATCTACATCTACAGTTACTCTATCCAGCAAAGCTATCATTTAAAGTGGAAGGACAAATAGAGTGCTTCTGAGATAAGGTAAAGCTAAAGGAGTTCATCATCACCAAGCCCTTATTATATGATATGTTAAAGGGGCTTACCTAAGAAAAAGATTTAAAAAATCTTCTTCTAAGAAGATAAAAAAATATGAACAATAAAATGACAACAAACTTACAACTATCAACACCTGAACCTAAAAAAAAAAAAACCAAAACCCAAAAATGAACTAAGCAAACAACTAGAACAGGAACAGATTCATAGAAATAGAGATCACATGGAGGGTTATCAGTGGGGAGAAGGAAAGGGGAGAATGGGGGAAGAGGTACAAGTAAGAAGCATAAATGGTAGGTACAAAATAGACAGGGGGAGGTTAAGAATAGTATGGGAAATGGAGAAGCCAAAGGACTTATATGTAAGACCCATGGACATGAACTAAGGTGGGGGAATGCTGGAGGAAGTGGGGGTATGATGTGGAGGAGGATAAAGGGGAGAAAAAAATGGGACAACTGTAATACATAGTCAATAAAATATACTTAAAAATAAAATGAATAAGCAAGTAAGACATATAAATAATGAAAAACAGTAAGAAAAATATACTGAGAAAGATGAATCGGTGGAACAACATAAACTTTGTATATTGGTATTTATACATATACACAGATCTTAAACTGTATAGAATAATATGTAGTACAGATTTATTTCATTGCAATGTAAGGATAATAGATAATAAGTAATATTTATGACAGTTGGCTGAATCTTTGGAAAAAATGATGCTAGATTTTTGTCTAATCCACACATAAAAATAAAACCCATATAAATGAACAATCTAAAACAAAAATTCCAAACTATAAAGTAAGTTTCA